TTAGTTAAAGTCAGGAAGTAGCACAATGAGTAAGGAGTGGTGCACGTGATTATGATATGGGTTCTGCTAAACTGATGAGGGGCAATATAACGGTTATTAACGTTTACCCAATTAACTACGTGTATGTAGCTCTAATGTAGCGTCTCTCCGCAGTAGTGCTGACTGCCCCATATTTCTTCATGTTTGGATGGAATTGCTTAACCTGGTGAGGAAAACGATTGACCCCTATAGTGATTGCTCGTCGAGCTTGGAGGTCCAAACACCATTCGACCAGTTTGAGTGTCATATTACCTCTCGCTGTGATCGTGTACTCCCGAACAGAACGACTTACTACTTCAGGTGGTCGTCACACTTGTACTGGTGATATTCAGCACGAGGACATTTTGTGACAGGTTGATCTTGGTAGATGTTTAATAGTCCTTCCCAGTCCCCCCAAGTTTTGAACGTGAGCCAGAGAACAGTTTCCTTGGTCGTGAAAATCACCGTCATCGTGATTTCAGGACACGGTATCCTATCTGAATAGTAGGGTGCTCAGTCTTGCCTATATACGCTATTTCATATCAAACTCACACTGTCTGGGTCATTCGCAAGGCTCATTAACGAATAACGCCTCAATTTCGCAATCCTCCAAGATCGCCGCAAACAACCACACAACGTGGTTGTTTGGGTATTGACAGCAGATTCTAGAAGGTGATATAAGCGTGTTCGGTCAAAGATTATTTCTCGGTCCCCTAACGTTAAGGTGTCAGGGCGTTGCGTTTTTCTACGCTAGGCGTTCCCAATTAATGTGCCTGGTTGAGGGTCAGCTTAAAACGGCGATATGTGGTCTTGGCATCGCGCGTTCTCCGGCGAATCGCCAGAAGTAATCTCCTGTTGATTGAATCAGTTCGATGTGCGCGAGCTCGTTTAAGAGTGGAAGGGTTAGAAACATACGGCCTTTCATCCTCCTTTAATTGATAATTGCGAGTTTAATTAACTTAAATTGCTATACCTGGTTCCAAACACGGAGAGATATGTAAAAGTAAAGTTCAATTTCTAAGTTCCAGATG